ACTGGGGACACAACTTAATGAACGATAACAATTCAGCACGTAAAATAAACTAATAGAGATATCAAAAAAAATACTGAAATTAGTGCTCTGTCTGGCCATGAAGAGGAGTGGGAGTGGGGTCAGTGGAGTGTTCGCCAAGGAGTTAGGATAAAATTTACGTAAAAGGTGAGGTTTGCATTAGGTCTTGATGGTTCAATAGAACCTTGGGGGGCCAAGAAGGGTCCTAGCTAGGCATGCGTGGAATGTTTACGCCTTTCTGATTTGAACTAAACACCTACCACTCTCTCATTCCGTGTTTCAATTAGAGCTCCAAACGCGAATGGAAGCCTCTGGAGGACCGTAGCTGCACAGACATCCCGTGGCTGCTGCTCTTCCTGCTCTTCTGCGTTGGGATGGTAAGGAGACACCACGAGGGACGGAGACCCGACTCCTGACCCACGGAAGGATGAGGAGTCCGTTTAGAGAGGGAGGGTTGTTTTTTGTTTTTCCAAAAACCCCTTTTGTGTTGCTTATCGGAGCCCTGGTGGCACAGTGGCTTAAGTGCTCAGCTTCTAACTGAAAGGTCAGCAGTTTGCATCCACCCGCTGCTCTGTAGGAGAAAGATGAGGCAGTCTGCTTCCATAAAGACTGTTATGTGCCGTGGAGTTGGACCTGACTCACAGCGACCCCTCCTTGGGTTTCCAGGGCGGTATCACTAGACAAGTAGATTGCCCAACCTTCCTTCTGAGGAGTGGCTGGTGGGTTTGAACCGCCAGCCTTCCGGTTAGCAGTCAAGTGGCTTAGGCACTATGCTACCAGAGCTGCTTCCATAAAGATTACAGCCTTGCAAACTCTATGGGGCAGTTCTACTCTGTCCTGTAGGGACACTGTGAGTCAGAATCCACTCACAAGTTTGATTGGTTTGTTTTGGTGCTGCTCTAACTGGAGGGCAAGGTTGCCATTGAGGCAGGCTGTTTTTCCCCCTGCCATTCAGCTGCATTTGGTATCCCTTATTCTTTTATTTTCTTCCATGAAAATTGAGACCAAAGTTACGGAGCCACTGGGAATCTGACTCATTTGGTAGGTCATTCCAGAAATCCAGGTCATTTGAAATACGTTTCTGTGAACTGAACCTTGATGGAGTGATGAGCGGAACACTGACCAGGGGAGTCAGGAGGCCTGAGTACTTAGCCAGCCAAGTCCCACCAACTTGATGCTTGACTTTGGGCCCGTCAGTCCTCCTCTCAGGACTTGGTGGTCCTGTGGATGAAAGGAGGTTTTGCAGGGTGATTTCTACAGTAGCTTCCATTTCTGACATTTTTTAGTTCTTCCTGTCTGTGTGGCGGGTTGCTCACTGCTGTTTCCTCCTTCTACCCACTGGGTCCCTGCTGCCTGCTGTGCTGACTATAACGAGTGGTGTCTCTTAGTCAGAAATCCAGGGACCTGATGCATCTTAGATCAGTGATTTCTAAGTGGGTTATAGGGGTGGAGGAGCGGAGTCTGGTGCAAGGCGGTGAGGGTGTGCTTATCCACATTGCCCTGCAGGAGCTTCTGACACAGACTTCAGTGCTTTTAGAGCCAGTGCTGGTGTGCTGGGCTGGAAAAAAGGGAGAAAACGACTGCTTTAGAAGGAGCTGATCTTCAGAGCTAGAAAGGACCTTGGAAATCCTCATCTGGTCCATCACCCTCATTTTACAGATTAAAAACATCAAACCCAGAGATGATAAGGGCCATCCCAAGGCCGTGCTGCTTTGTGCTGCTAGTTAAAAGCGGAGCTGGGAACAGAGCCCAGGTCTCTTACCTTCCAAGCCAGTGCTCCTTTCTACCACCTCATTTCCTCTTCCTCCAGGCAACTCTGCAGATACAGGGTAGCCCTCTCCCTCTTCCACAACTCCAAATACAATTCTGCTGCCCCAGGCAGGCTTTTTTCACTCGGGTGTGAGTGTTTTCAGAGCCCTTCTTTCCCGTACATCTTATCAGAGCTCTTTAGGAAATTCTCTTTCTGCATGTCCCTTTACCTCCCAAGGTCCATTTGCAAATTGCAGGACAACGCTAATCATGGCTAATGGGCATAATTGCAGATACCGGTTTGCCCTTGAAGCAGGGAAGGGAGAGCAGAACATTTTGACAATGAGATAGGAAAAGTCAGTAGGTAATGGATATTAGTTTTAAAGATAACAATAGCTCAATTTTGCCAAATTTAGGGTATTTAGAGGATATCAAAATACCTGTTTTCTAACTTACAGATGCTGGTCAGGAGTCTGCTTAGTTTAATGGACTAGCAGCTGAGCTGCAGCACGCACAGATACACACGCAGAGTGTGGAAATGGTTCTTCACCAACGGCATTAGTCTAGGACTCTTTCCCCCTGAGTTTAACCCTGGGACAGCTAGCAGCTGCCCTTTCAAAATTATGTTTATAAAAACATGTAGCATGCCACCTGAGGTGCTTTTAATTTTCTGTGCTAAAATAGCTTGGGAAAGTGCAATCCTTAATGCCAACAGGCTGATTTGGGAGTGACTCAAGAGTTAGGAGTTATTTGTTTACTGAAACGTTATAATGCAATGGTAATTAATATAATACTGATTTCAGTGTGATGGTAATTGAGACCCACTGTGTGTACTTTGAAAGGCAAGCATAGCATTATTTGTTTTGGAATGATGATTTTAATGCCTTCGTGGAGTTGAGGTATCATCAAATTTTGCCCCGTGGAGACTGAAGAAACCTCAAAGTTAGGTTGCCCACCATAGTGGCACAACTGTAGTTCTAAGTTTATCTTCTGAATATTTGTTTCTTTAGATTTCATCTGTGGTACTTTTAAGAGAAACATTCACCCAGCATTTGCTGAGCATTAATCTATACTTGGGAGGAGCTCTGGTAGCATAGTGCTTAAGGCACTTGACTGCTAACCAGAAGGCTGGTGGTTCAAACCCACCAGCCACTCCTCAGAAGGAAGGTTGGGCATTCCTACTTCCGTAGAGATACTGCCTCGGAAACCCAAGGAGGGGTCGCTATGAGTCGGGGGCCGACTCGATGGCAAATAACAGCAACAACAACAATCTATACTTGGTGTTTGCATGTGTATCTTTCTCTCATCCACTTCTCCCAGTTCCCATACGAGATAGGTTTTGTCCCCAGCTTGCAGATGAGGCATGTTGCTGTTGTTAGTAAGCAGCCGCGATAGCTTTGATCCCGAACCTCCTGGCTGTGTTCTTCTCACTGGCGGTCACAGCTGCTTGCTTCTCTTGTGGCTATTTCTCAGCCATCTAACAGCCTGATATTGAAACTGTATTTTTATTCTTCTGTCCTTCCCTGCAGCTCTTTGCTCTCCCCTTGATGTTTATGTTTTAATTCTTGAGTAGTGTGAGTTCCTGTCCTCTTCTACTCACCTTCATCGCTAACTCTTTTCATTTGCACAGGTTTACCTATTCATAAGTATTTGTACCTCTCTTTTTATTTCTTCCCATGTCTCAAGAATTTTCCACGCTTGAATTGTCTAGCAGTTAGAGTAGTTTTCAAAGTCAGCTGCCACCAGACTCTTTGAGAGCTGTCATCTTCCACATTGGAACTTGGATCCCTATTTTGAATTTACTAGACATCTGCTTACCCTGCTCTAAAAAAAAATTACATGTAGCGTTGCATTTTTTAAATTTCTAATTTTCATTAAAGTTGTAAACAAATGGTTTTCAACTCTGGCTGCACATTAAAGTAACCCGGGATCTTTAAAAAGTTCTCAAGCTTGGGTGCCACCTCAGAGATTCTGATTTAACCTGTGTGATCCTGATTCCAGCCGGGGCCGGTTTTGAGACCAGCGCTTTCGGTGTTTGTCAAACTCTGGAGGAGAGTTTTGAGCAAGACGTGGGTTTAAAAAGATGACCCTGGTTGCCAGTGATCAGGATGGCTTGGAAGAAGGAAGAGGTTTCAGGTAGAGAGACCACTCTGTAGGCTAATGCAGTTGTCCAGGTGAGTGGTGAAAAACCTGAAATCAGGTAGTGGTAAAGGAATGGCAGAAGATAGAGACTGAAGAGGTAAGATTGGTAACTTTTGTTGTTATTCATATTGCATTGGAGGCAAATGGGAGATGGGTCAAGGATGACTGCGAGGTACTTTGTGTTAGGGGTTCAGGTTAGGGTTTTTCAGCTCACATTGTGCCCCAGCTCCTCCAGGTTCCCACGCATGATTTCTGTGCACACAAGAGAATAAGAGCGAGATGGAGGATAGCAAGGACCACTTTATCAGTAGCTAAACAGGCACTTGATATCCCCAGTAAAACACTTAGTGATAAAGATGACTTGTGGAATGGAGCGTGTGCCACACATCCACCATATTGAGGGTGGTCTCATTTACCTGGATAGACAGGGAGAGGAGGTGTGTATGAGAAGGGAAGAGGCGGGCAAAGGCAGAGGCAGGCTACCTGCTTGTTCCAAAGCTGCCCAGCTCAGCTTACCACGTGGAAACTGGGGAAGGAAAGATCACACAGAGATCTCTGATAATCATTGCTGCTTGCTGTGTGCCCGGTACCGTTCTCAGCACTTCACACATAGAAACTCATCTAATTCTCACAAGTCATCGGTGAAGTAGATACTGTTATTATCACTCCTCCCACCTTACAGATAAGGAAACAGGCACATTGCCTACAGTTACATAGTGGCAGAGCTGAACTCAAGCGAGAAGAAGGAGAGAGAGGGCAGGCGGTCAGGAGGCAGCCCCTAGTAGACGTCTGTTACTCTTATTGCTGGAATGGGGAAACGACAGAAAACACCCTGCATGTAAACATGGATCTGGAGACACAGTCACCTCATTTGCCAGTAGAATGTATTCTAATCAGTGTCTTAGACTTGGTCCAAATAGCTTAGCTTTACTGGGGCAAAGAGGGGAGCATGAGGAGAGAGCACAGAAGAGCCCCTCACTCTTACACATTCAGTCTAGTAAATAATGACGCTAGTCATGGAGTTGGGGTACATGGAGGAAAGGAAAGTGATTTGGGGAAATGTGGAAGGATATGTAGAATCTGTGGGTAGAGATTAAAAAAAAAACAAACAACCCCTGTCACTGCTGTTGAGTCGGATCCGACTCACAGCGACTCCTCCTTGGGTTTCCCAGGCGGTACCTCTACGGAAGCAGATTGCCCAGCCTTCCTACTGAGGAGTGGCTGGTGGGTTTGAACCGCCAGCCTTCTGGTTAGCAGTCAGATGCCTGAGGCGTTACACCGCCCTAAGTAGTTGGAATTTTGGGGAGTGATCTGGACTAGAGCCGGGTTTAAGAGATGGATACGTTGCTCCTTCCCACTGCTTTCAGGGCTCTTTCTCATTTTCCAGCGTTCTTCTGGTCCCCGGGGCAGGGTGTTTCTACCTCATTACCCATGTTGAGCGTGCAGCATGAGGCGGGAGATTCACTGCAGTATTTTGTCACCTGTT